TCAGAAATGGTAATGTGGTCCGTTTTTGCATCGAAGACTCCGTGTCCAGTAACTTTTGTGGTATAGTCTAGATGTTGTATCCACGGGTCATTTTCGTCAGTGACGTATTTCACAACAAGTTCTACATATAAGAACAATACATAAGAAAAGAGGAAATCGTGGGGGATGACTTTTGGGATACCTAGTCGTAAATGCATTTCCAATTATTTTCGTGATGATTATTTTTAAACTTAGAACTTGGTGTGCATTACATTACAGACGAAAATGATCTGTGGATACCATATTTAGACTATACCACACAAGTTGCCGGACACAGAGACTTCGATGATTCATTTTACACTTTTCACTTTATGAAATACATGACTGACAAATATGAATTCATCTGTCTAGATGATACCACAAACGGTTTCCGGACATAAGTCTTCTGAACAAAAGTTAATAAATATTGATATTCGTCAAGCAGTGTGTATGAGGAAAATTGGCCCAGACAGTGGTACTATGGTGTACTCTTATTTCGAATTCCAACTGTCTAGGGTTGTTGTATGCGCACGTCAACGTGTACATATAAACCTGGTTTCTCGAGAAGCCCCCGGTGCTGCATCCTGACAAGGAGAAACCACACTGGAAAATCCTAAGGTACTTTTTCAGCAAACATAGGTATCGAACCCCAGATCTCGTTCTTAGCGAGTCTTACTCACTGAACCACTGTTTCGAACCATTTCTGTATAAACAATAGATAAATTCTTAACAACTGGATATATATACCTCACTGTTTTGCTGGAATAATATTAAATCTTGTTTTTGTGAGATCCAGTATAACAGTTCCAGTTACCATCAAAATAACTACTACTCTTTGCTATTACAAGCCAATTACAAGAGGAAAATTCACGATTGTCCTGTTGTATTTTTAAGCAATCATCTACCATCTTCAAAATTCATTTTTGATGTAATATTCATTTTCAAAATTCATTTTTGAGGTAATATTCATTTTCAAAATTCATTTTTGAGGTTATTTTCAAGTTCGTGGACTTTGAAAACCTAATAAAGGACATTATTACAAGCCATACAAAACCGAAAAAATGACGATTATCTGAAAAATCGTTCATTTTAGGGAAATTCTGGTCGCCATTTTGGATTTTCAACCATCTTGGATTTTGGAAACTCTTCTTTTGAGGTTGTATTTAAGTTCAGTGACACAGAAAACCCTTTAAATCGCATATCACTCGCCATATCAAACTTAAAAATGACGATTATCCGAAAAACCGACCATTTTAGGGAAATTCTGGCCGCCATTTTGAATTTCCGCCATCTTGGATTTTTGAACCCCGTTATATTTAGATTAATTTTAAGTTTAGTGACACTGAAAATCCTTTAAATTACATATTATAAATCATATCAAAGAGTGAAATGACTTTTATCTGACAAATCAGCCATTTGAGGTAAATTTTGGCCACCATTTTGAATTTCCGCCATCTTGGATTTGGGGAAACTAGTTTTAGAGATTATTTTTTCAGTTTAATTACTAAAATACCTTATATATGATATATTACAAGCCATACCTTGCGTGATAATCACCCATACTATCTGGAAATTAATTTTTCGTCAAATTCTGGCGGCCATTTTGGAAATCAGACAAACCCCAACCGAAAATGACGTCACAGAAGTGAAATAATCTCATAATCGTCACAAATTTTGCCTCAGAAACAACCCGACCCCAAATTTTGTTCCGATTGTGACACCCCTACTATTCTTTACACAAGATTCTATCTTTGTTTTAATAGTTTGAATGTGGGTTAAAAAGGAATGCACTGATGTTGCTCCTTTGTTTAGTTCAACACCTTTAAACAACAAATTATCACTATTCACATCCTGAACTAAATACCCAAGTTCACTTGTGTCATCGATATTGTCTTCTTGTAAAACTGAATAAAATGTTTCGAGACACGATAAAGCATATAAAAGATCAATACTGTCACCCTGAAGGGTTAGAGATAGTTTTGCCAATGGGGTCAGTATTTTAGCAAAATACAGTAAATATAGAACAAAATTTAGGCTTTTCAATTTAGTTAAATAACCTTTGTATTTTTGTTTATCTTCTTTTTTAATATTGTTTGATGTATCTTCGATCATATTTTCCATATGATTTATAATAACGGGATATGACTGTATTAATGACTGACAAGCACTGCGCTTATGTTGTAGCCAACGAGTTCCCATGGCCTTTTCGGGTTTTGTGACAGTTTCATTCATTATTTCTCCAAGTTCCTTTAATTCTCTGATTTTCTTGGGGCTGTGTTGATACATTGAGTGTAAAGTGTTTAACATACTAATAATGTCTAAAAAATGAGTGTCATTGAAGCTATCTTTGGCAGCCAATTCCAGCCTATGGTTGAGGCAATGTATGACTATCAACCAATCAAAATCTTCCTTTAATAATGCAGCAACACCACGTCTCGTTCTATAAATAGCAGACGACAACATGTACTGCTCTCGTTCCACTGGACCGTTGCAGAGGCACGTAAAAAGTCTTGATGATATAGACAATAAAATTGCGAGATTTGAGATTTGTTTTGATGTGTTTTACGATACTGAATGGTTTTTTAAAATTAAAATTAATTTTCAAAACTTTGATTCGCGCTGAAGTAGGGTTTTATGCTAATGATGCTAATCAAATATGAATTTGATTCGCAAAATCGTACGTTTGAGTCGCAAATTGCGATACGAACCCGGTTAAAATATTCCCTGACTCAGACAAAACCAAAAACACCTATCCAAATATATTAAAAACTTAGTCCAACGGTACAGACCTTCGCGATCTCTATGTTAACGTCACCAGAACTCTCTGTAAATCCCTAGAGTGCCTACTGGATTTGAGCAAAGAGCCTTCTTATGTCCTTCTTTAGCAGCCGGAGGACCCGAAGAAAACCCACAAGGTTGGACAGGCGGCCCTAGCCCTTTGTACGTACAACCGGGCAATCGAATCCGCGGCAGTTGACTCAATGACAGACTTTATGAAGCAGCGCGCATGTGCTATTCATTCGGCCGCCCCTCCCCATATTTAAACAATATGTAAATTCATTTATCTACATTTAATGCCGATGTGACCTATGTACTTGGATACAGGTTATTGTAAAACCATCGCCACATTATTTGAGTCTGCGCGCTTTGCAAATGTATTAAATTATTATTATTACCGTTTTGTTTGGTTTCATATTTCAGAACCTTTATAAATTACCCACATTCAGAAATCTGAATCGATGTTCACTTACATCATAATATTATACATTCTTCTCTAGAAGATATCTTGCCACAAAGAAATATTCGAATGCATATGTATTTAAGTCGACATTAAGTGATCTAGGTGTATGAAATAACGCATTCCGGTTTTCAAATGTGCCGGATTATTGTTTTGGAGTCTTAGATGTATTTTAAAATCAATTTTTTTAAAATGACCCAACCACTGAAAACATCATTTTAAAAAATATCAATCCCTAGATTATCTGACTATAGCATGGGCCAAAGTCTGTCAATAAACAGCCATCAGAAGCTGGAAACAAGCCAGAGATAATGATGAATATCGAAGTGGTCCTTTAAAGATACATTCCCGCGTATTTGGTATAAAAACATATTTAAACTAATTAATTTATCATAAATTTGCTTCAAATCCTTCTCAAAAAATTGTCATTGTCAAGGAATACCTTGCTATCGAAAATCGATCAAAAGAGGTCATGTTTGTGTCACGTGACTTACAGGTGCGAAGTCGGTGGAGAATTCATTGCATACACAAGACGATGTTGTCTTTAATCGCTGACTATTTATTACAAATATCAAATTCTAATTATCCACTGCCCGCGTCTTTTTCCGTGATTTTTATCTCAGGTGTTGTACGCCTAACTCTTCATAAAGTCTATCAACATGTACATCAAGCGCTCAATCTCCGCGTGCAACCTTTGACGTCACGCGTGCAGATATTCCTAATCGTCGGGCTGTCGATTAGGGGGACCCTGATATTTTTGTCCTGTATACGCTCCATGAGTGTTTTTCAGGGAATCCAGTATTTTTCTAGTAAGATTGAATATCTCTACTTTCCATATATACCAAAATTGCCATACTTTTATTGGAAATAACCACCCAATAAATACTTTTCTGGAAACCTATCTTTGAGTACGATTGCTTACTATTAATCTGATCACCACCACATTGCTGTGGTCGTTTGGGTAATACATCGATCTGTAGATCATAATATTTGTTATATAGTGGGATAATGTCCACTCCGCGCTAAGGCTGTGTTATGTACGCACTAATTAACGTGTAATGTCTCCTTAATTAAATAAGTATTCAGCATTATCGGGGACCTAGATAGGGCAGAAGAAAGCCACAAACTTCCGACTCTTGGCTCGATGACAGCATTGCGTGTTCGTCAATGAAGAGGTAAAACTACGCCTTGAAAGTTTAGATATCAGCCAAATTAAAGTGTAACACATAGCCTTAGTAAAAATTGAAAATATCGTATTCAAATAGTAGGTGTAGAGGAACCGATAAAAGAAACCTGCAGACAAGACAAACTGCGCAGACATTGCAAGAAATAAACAATCAATAGCCACACAAAGAAAATAAAGAGAATTAATTTTGTAACAAATATCGTATTCCAAAATAAAGCGAATTAATTTTTAACAATATGGAATTCAAGTAACCTTAGACAATAAAGCTAATTATTCTTCTAACAATATCTTTTTTTAATATATTGAAACCCAAAGCACTGTCCTTCTACAGTAATGTATTATTTTACGCGCTTTCGTTAGATCTATAGATGTGTGTAAACTTTTGTACACAATTTTATTGGATTGTCCCGGTGCATATCAGGGTAAATTGAAAAAAAAAATAAATAAACTGACCGACGAAGACGCAGAATTAAGATACAGATATATTAAGTGTATTACTTACCTGTACTCGAGATTGTGAATGTCTTTTAGCATGGATATCACATCTGTTCTCATTACGGCTGATATTTTTTGTTAAGTTATTCGAGAAGAGAATTCGACCAATTAAACAATATAAAACAGCTGATATGAAGAACGGAATAATGTAAAATATGACTAAATCTGTCATAAAATAAGTTAGATATGAGGGTCGAGCTAGACGAAACTGACATTTTTCAATGACATTACCATCAATCTGCGTAATCTGTTTTAAATCTGTCAATCCCAGCCAAGGTGAACAATACAAAATTGTTAAAATCCAAATGCCGACGATTATCTTTTTGGCACGATTTACCGTGCACATCGTCTGCGCCCTTATCGGTTTACAGATGGCAAAGTATCTCTCCACTGTGAAAGCCGTGATTGAGGCTGACGAGGCGTCAACTCCGACATTTTGTAGGAATATTAAAAGGGAGCACAACACTCGTCCAAATCGCCACTCATCAATCTGAAAGAAAGGTTCCGGAATAGACGGTAACGTTGCTGATAAAAGAACAATTACGTCGGCTACTGCTAGACTCAACAGGTAGCAGTTGGTCGGAGTATGCATACTTCTAGTGCGAGCAATTACGACTACGACTAAAATATTCCCAATAAATCCGACAACAAATATTATAGCGCTGATGGACGCGGCTATAAGTCGGAATAAAGGAGAATAATGATTCGGGTGCGTCATAGTAATGTTTTCAAACTGTAAAGTTTCATTTTCAGAGAGAGGAGGTATGGCTCCGTGGTGGGCAAACAACTCCGTCAACGTCTCGTTTATCAATATACTTTGATTCATGGTATCGTTAAATATCGTTCCTAAACAGTCATTTGCAATAATCCATTTACAATCAGCACATTATCCGAGTCATTAATAAAACATTTGCCAGCGGCAAAAATTAATAAAATACCGCAGACCTTCTGTCTTATACTTTCTGTTGTCCAATTAAACGTCACGCACTACACTATTTGAAGTATAAAATGTTTATATTAACTGAACAATTAATTATTGTCTGTAAAGTAACAGCCAGACAACATTCAGATAAGGTCTGTTGATCACAAATTTCACCTTTTTTAAGTTGAAGAAAGTTGATTTGTTATGCGATTTGTTTAGTTATAAACTAATGCTCGTTTATGATAATATCTACCTCTACGCAAGGTTCTTTTTTAAATTGGATAATATACCCTTTCAACATCCATATCACAAATTTCACTTGGATGGTTCAAACTACTTTGTGTTGATTACGCTAGGTATATGTATAAGCCGGGTAAATCTCCAATGCTATATACACCGTGCATTCTCTATAACTGATAGCTGATTGGCTAGCCGTCTGATCTAATCAATAACCCTCGATTGTAACGTGCAGTATATATATATCACTATTATTAACATAAAACACCAACAAATCCGCCAGCTGTCTTCAATTCCATACTGGGGGGTTTTCTCGGACACGACTGAAATGTTTAGTTATTCGAAAAAATGTGATAGATCGAGGCTAGGTATCCAAATTAGCAGTGAAGCATATCAATAATTCCCATAACAAAACGAATTCCAAACCACATTGTACTGTAGTACCCGATTTCCACTTGTAAAAAATGAAGTAGTTCTAATATTTTCTGACAGATCTCATTTGAGGTACCCAACTTAATTAATGAGGATGATTTATATTAAATTTGAAAACTTTATTCCATATGATTATGTATAATTATTTAAATTGTCTTCCTTCTAGCATTTCTCAATACTATGCCCTATACTTGAGTTTTGGGGATATACAATCAAGAAGTTGGCTCCGGTCATCAGCAAACGTGCACTCCACTGGTTTAAACACTTGAGTATACGGACATCGGGTACAGTCAAAAGTAATGTTATGGAATAAATATTTTGACTTGTAGCACATGTGTAACAACTCTTATCCCAGCTCCAAATACAGGGTTCAACAAAATAGAAGATAACTACAGATTGGGTTATAATAAAATGAAGATAGAGGCTTCAGGCAACACTGGCGTTACTGGAAACATATTTCAACGAGGCTTCCACTTACTACACTTCGATACTTAATTAGTTCACGGCGCCTGTGTGGCTGCAACAAAAAGTTATTGAGTATAAATGTGATTTTTGCCTTACTATGTATGTTTTGTAAAGCCAAACTGGATATATGTGTTCATAACATCATCAAGATCATCATGGATAAATTTGGATTACACATTCTTGTTTAATTTGTGAAATATCAGTGAAAATAATTTTGTATATGCATGGATATATCAGTGTTTGGTGGCCATTTTGTCTAATCTTATTGCAGAAAAATATTTGATTATATCATCATTGACCAGTACTTATTACAAAATAGTGTTCACTCACTATAGTCAGTGGTAATACTAATGATTAACTATTCATCTAAACAGCTTGTAAATCTGTGTAAATCAAGTGACCTTAAAGTTTCAGCTGATCTCTTCAATCGACTAAAATCATTGCTGATTTTAAGGTCATTCCGAGGGACAAGAGGGGGTACAAGGAGAAATTTAAATAAAATCTCGACCTCAGGGTTATCTACGGAAGATGACACTTCTGAAAATAGTGTTGTGATTTTACAGACTGGACCGACTTTCGGTATACATTTTGTGACCCGACTAGATATCCGGGACTACGCACAACCCTCATCCTGAGTGCCCGTATTCCTACGCCGGACAGTATATAAGCCATCACCGCCAATGGATCGGTCTTCAAAGCTTTACAGATATTCACAGATACTTAAACGGTAAATACATTGCGGACTTAGCTCGGCAGCCAAGTTGGCTGGAAAATTCTAAATTGGTAGAACGATAAAAACTTATTACAACATTGACATTGTTTGAACATTTGTTCATTGAAAAAGGGAGAGGAAGAGATAAAGTTTAATAAAGATTGATTTACTTTGTTGAATTGTTTTGAGAACCTAAGTGTGAAGGGTCGTATTCGTGAGCGTGTCTCGCATTTCCGAATGCGACTCATTAACACCTTGATAAATTTATTTATTTAAACGCACTTGCTGGTACATATACGGATCGCACGTGCAGATACTGTCTGGGCTATACACGTGTAACTACACGTGGTATATTGGGTTGTTGTTTGTTTATTTATTACATAATTTTGGTTTAGATTTATTTAGAGGGACAACATGGCTGGCAAAATAAATGTCAACACCTGTACTAGAGATGACTTTATATGGTTGTCAGTCCTATAGCAACTGACAAGATGTTAGGAACCCGCGAAGCATGCGGAAAATTGGATCGTGAGAAATTAATGCAAATTCCGGAAGTGATGGATTTGTCAGCCTCTCTCTTTTGTTGTTTTGATTTCACCGAGGCAGCGACACCGTCGTCCTCCGGTGCATATAAGTCTTCCCGTTCTAACACGGGTAACGTCACACAACAATACCCAGGACCAAAACGGTTTTCATTGGCTCCTAAATCCCTATCTTATGATGGCAATTCAAATTGGCAAGCTTTTTCAAATAAATTTACACGGTTTGCGTCTGTAAATGCTTGGTCTGACACTGAGTGTAGAGATCAGTTATGTTTTTGTCTAGAAGGTAAAGCCAGCGAGTACTACTCAATATTTTCCGCGAGGTTTTATGGTCTGACATTCTTCGAAATTATGGCTAAACTAGACCGTAGGTTCGGTAACCAGGATTTACCCGAGACTTCTATGATACAATTCCACAATTTAAGACAAGCTTATGACGAAACATTAAATGATTGGGCTGACCGAGTGTTGACAATGGCTACCCGTGCATTTACGGATTGTTCCGAGGAACATGTCACTAGTCAAGTAGTGCTTAGGTTTTGTCAGGGGTCTTATGGCAGAGGCTGGATAGTAGGCCCGTAATGCACGGCCAAAAACGTTAGAAGAGGCAATACAAGCTATTAAGTGGTATGTTGTTCGTCCTTCGATTTCGAAGATGACCATTTGACAATCACATCGTCATCATCAGTTATGGACCCGGAGATTGCTGGCGAGGTCGATCCGGGCGAGGAAGCCTCTCCAACAGATTTGGCAGAAGTGAGAGGGGGACTTGTTTGTGTTGTTCGAAGCTTTTTTGTGTTGTTCGAAGCTTTACGCACCTGCCGCTTTTGCCTGGCTAGGTGCGTTCGGCTGTCTTCTGCTGTCTTTGCCCCTCTGCAGATGGTTGAGCGCCGTCTGTTCCCATGTCTCTGAGTTGATAGCAAAATCTTTTAGAGACGCTTTCAGATTGTCCCGGAATCTCTTCTTCGGTCGGCCGACATTTCGTTTTCTTTGACAAAGCTCCCCGTAGAGGAGTTGTTTGGGGATTCTGTCTTCGGACATGCGGCACACGTGACCAGACCATCGCAGCTGTGCCTTGTGCAGTGAGGTGGTTGCGCTGGGCATTTCGACTTGTTCCAGGACATCCGTGTCAGGGATTTTATCTTGCCAGCGAATGTGGAGTAGGTTCCGGAGACACTTGAGGTTGAAGCGTTCGATCTGCCGCTCGTGTCTTCGCTAGGTGGTCCAGGTCTCACAGCCGTATAATAGAGTGGTAAGGATAACCGCCCTGTACACCTTAAGCTTTGTCTTGAGACTGATACCTCTCCGGTCCCAGACTTTCTCTCGCAGTCTCCCGAATGCGCTGCTCGCCTTGGAGATTCTGTTGTTGACCTCATCATCGGGTCGAAGTGCTGATTTCCAGGGGCTGGCTGATGCATCACTTCGGTTTTTTTCGTGCTGATCGTGAGACCGAAGTTGTCACAGGCCGCCGAGAAACGGTCCATTTGGAGTTGCATCTCCCTCTCATCGTGCGTGTTGATGGCACAGTCGTCCGAGAAGAGGAGTTCTCTGATGATAGTCTCTTTTACCTTTGTGGCAGACTGCAATCTCTTGGTGTTGAACAGTTTTCCATCTGTCCTGTACCGGATGTCGATGCCGGTCTTGCAGTCTCTGAACGCATCAAACATCATGGTTGAGAACATGATGCTGAATAGTGTTGGAGCAAGCACACAACCCTGCTTGACACCGTTGGTCACCTGAAAGGCTTCAGATGGATCGCCGTCTTCAAGGACTCTAGCAGTCATTCCGTCGTGGAACTGACGGACGATTTCGACGAACTTGCCGGAACAGCCAAATTTCTCCATGATCTTCCAGAGACCTTCCGGACTATTGCTATTTATGGTCGTTCTTCTCGACGAGAAATGCGTAGCCCCAATCGAGAGTACGAGTCGACTCGTGTTCGAGCAGTAAACACGCCACAAATTAAAGAGACGGTTTCGCCCAAGTCCGAAGGCATGGAAACCCGTATCCAATGTGTGGAAAAGCGTTCGACTCAATTAGAGGGTACACTTAACAGTCTAATGGGGAAATTTCATGAATTGTCAAGGGAAATTTAATAAACTAGCCGACTTTATACGGAGATCTAGAGCACGTTCTCGATCTATGAAATTGCATACGGCCGGCCGCCAGTTAAACTTTCCTGGATTCATTGTTGGGTCGGCTAATCTGGAATTGGGCTCTTTTCGAGTAGAATTAGGTCATTTATATGTGGCTCCTATCGAAGATGACATGTTGTTAGGTCTTGATTTCATGCGCGC